TTTAAAAAAAATTTTAATAATTTCCAATTGTAAATCGTTAGCATGACAATAGACCTGTCGAATTTGGCGAATTTGATAGAAACAAGAATTATAATGAGCCAAATTGGAGCGATACATAGTTTATACTAATTGATCTAAAAAAAAAAAAAAATATATATAAATATACATGTAAAGATTTTTCAAAAAAAACAAAAAAAAAAGGTCATTGTCTTATAAATTTAGAATTATCGTGAGAATAAGAAGAAAAATTAAAATGAAATTTAAAATAACTTTTTTACTTTTGGTAGCTTTGTTTACAACATCCGCGTTATCAAAACCCAATTTTGATAGACGAGAACAATTTAGTTCCGACCACCAAAATATTTTTCAACCCTTTCTTCCATTATATAAAACTCCTAAACCTGTGACAAGATATTATGATCTTGTTATATCTCGAACAGAGTTAGCCCCGGATGGACTTTTGACAGAAGTTTTTGCCGTAAATAAGCAATATCCCGCTCCTATAATTCATGCAAACAAAGGCGATAGAATTGTTGCCAAGGTGACGAATCATCTTGGTAAAAGTGAACCAACAGGTAACATCATCCATCCTCTTCGAAAATTTGCCAACCATTTTTTTTTTTTTGTTTAACTTTTTTTCAAATGTTCACTAGCAATGCATTGGCATGGCATGTTCCAGAGGGGAACAAATTGGTATGTAAGGAAATCATGTTTCGGACAAATGATAAAATTCAAAGCTTATTAATCCAATCTTAATCTTGGAACGCTAGGTTCGACGGGGTTGTAGGAATGGTAATTGAACAATTCCATTCGTCATTATTCTCCTTTTCTCTCTTATTCGTGATTCAAACCAAACCTTTTGAAAATTTTCAACCAGACGCAATGTCCCATTCCTGATGACGTGTCATTTGTATACGATTTTTCGACTGGTAAACAAGCCGGCACCTTTTGGTATCATGCACATACACGAGCACAATTTGCGGAAGGAATTCGAGGTCCATTAATGTAGGGTTTATGATTTTTGTCATTTCCAATTTGATTAATTTTGTTCTAATCATTTTTTCTTTAAATAGCATTCACGACCCCGATGATCCTTACCGTGAAAAATACGATCTAGAATACGCCGTAACACTTTCGGATTGGTACCATGATGCAATTGCAGAATTGTTGGAGATTAGGAGTAGACCATATTATGGTGGTTTTAATGTAAAAAATCTATCTTTTCTTCATGTATTTTTAAAAAAAATTTTCAAAATTTTAAAATGTCTTAAATCATTCTATATTATCATTATTATTATTATTTTTTAGCCAATTCCGGACTCTGGTCTCATAAGTGGAGTTGGTCGTTATAATTGTTCTGCTGCTCCAGAGGGAAGCAAGTGCCGAAAAGACAATCCATTGGCGGTATACAAATTTGAATCCGGTAAAAAATATAGGCTTCGTATTATCAATACAAGGTAAGTTAAGAGGGTAAATGAATAATGTTTACGTGAAGAGCTTGCTTTGCTTATTTATTAATCCTCGTTTATCTCTTTCACTTAGCGCATTGGTTCACTTCATTTTCTCGATCGATTCCCATCCGCTCACGATTATCGAGGCAGATGGATCATACACAAAGCCATACACGGTCAACAGATTGCCTATTGGTATTGGCCAACGATATTCTGTTATCGTTAAAGCCGATCAAAAAGTTGATAATTATTGGATTCGAGCAACGATTGATAGTAGATGTATATTATCGAATAATGAAACGATCAATTTCGATTCGGCTATAAATTATAACGTTACAGGAATTTTAAGATATTTCGGAGCAGAAAAAATCGATCCAACGACCTCCGCGTTTACTGATGAACTTCCAACTTGTCTTGGTGTTCCCCAAAGTGCTTTGAAATTATTACGGCCTGAAAAAGTTCCTGAACCTGTTACGGATAATATTTTGTTTAACATCACGATTCGCCCAGACGAACGTAATGTTACGCTTGCCTTTGTTAATAATTCTTCATTCGTTGGGGATTTATATAATCCGACACTAAAGCAATTGGCGATGCATAAGATAAAATCGGTAAATGAACTCCCTCGTAAACGAAATGCTTATGCCTTGGAAAACCCTGATGGAGTCGTTGACATTACAATCTTAAGTAAGATAAATTTATATGTAATGATTAACTACGTTGTTATAACCGCATGATAATGAACTTTTTTTTTTATGACAAAAATTAAGATGCAAATGGCGGGATTCATCCGTTCCATTTACACGGACACAATTTTTATGTGCTTGGTACTGGACCAGGGTTGGTAGTCGACAAATCTCAACTAAATTTAGTGGATCCATTTCCCCGTGACGTATTCGTAGTGAATGGAACCAGGTAAATCAATCATATTTATTTATTTAAATTTTCACGGACGTCGTAAAATTATATCTACTTTTGTACTCAATTGTAAATCTATTAAAATAGCTGGGCCGTATTTCGTTTCAAAACTAATAATGCCGGTGTCTGGTCTTTCCATTGTCACATCGAGGTATTTTAAAAAAAAAATTATATATAGATACAGTGTATATATCATATCATTTTTTAACTGTAACTAAAATTATTCCTTCTTTTATAGTTTCATGTTGAAATGGGAATGACCGCTCAATTAGTAGAGTTACCAAAGGAAATATCAAAACTAAAGTTACCGCAAGCCACTCTTGATCTGTGTAAAAAATACTCATCATTCAAGTCGTCCTTCCCACAAAAATGAAGCAATCGTAGACATGAAAGTACTTAAATGTAAAATATAAAAAAGACATTGACATTTCAAAGCTAATTTCTAAAATATATTATTTTTCAATATGATAAAAGAAAATAATCGTAAATTATGAGAATAAATGTGTAAAATATATAAAATATTGTCATTTTACCGATTTTTAAAAGTTATTTTGTATAATAATCATCTATATTATTTTTTCTATTTAATAAAATAAAATTAAAGAATTAGTGAATTTCTATAATTTAAAGGTATCTTATGAACTATTATTAATTAGATGCGGTAATTTAAAGTTGTGGCATCAGATGATGAATTGATTGAATGCCTTGGACTTGATCCTTCATAATTTCCCCATTCAGCCTTTTTTGATCTAAAATAAGCATCATCAACATAAAATGAATGATAAGAACTTTGTCTTAAATTACGTTTAGGAGCTATGGGACTCTGACTGAGCGAATTATCAAATGAGCTGCTCATTGCAAGATGTATCTCTCCAAAATCGGTTGATGATGATGTAGCGGGACAATGAATCGTCGTATCTGATCCATCACGACGAGGTCCAACTATACTATTACCACGTAACTTGGATCCCGGTATCTTTGCCACGTAGGTGCTACAGAAAATACCAATCACGTATTTAAATTTCGGGTCAAAAAAAAAATATATATATATTTTTTTTTTTTTTCTTTTCAAATTTATTTCCTTACTTGTAAATCATGACCCATTGCGAAATGTGAATAGCGATGGGAATGCTATACTGCCAAATTATTAGGTAGGCGATATTGATTCCATAAATAAATATCGTATTCGTTCTATGCAAGGCACCGTATAAGACTAGGGCAAAAATATAAATGCATGCCGGAATTAACTGCCACGTGCCTGGAATGGTGATCTAGAGTCAAAAAAAATAAATAATAAAATAAAGAACTTTTTAAAAAAATAAAAAAATAAAAATAATTAAGATTTTCCCTACTTTATCACGATTTTGCTTAAATTGCTCAAGTTTCAATTCCAATTCGGGATTCTTCTCATTATTCATGGTCAAATCAACGTTTTCTAAAATACTTGGAAAGATTCGTGACCAGAAATAAACCATCGCTCCTATGTAAAAGATTCCCCATACGGCCCAACAAATATTATGCGCTATGAAATATTTATTCGCCTTTCCGATATTTCCAATATCTGCATAATGTCCTGTGAATGGTTTTTGATTTGGGTTAGATAATAAAAATTTTCAATTTTTTTTTTTCCTACACAAGTGTAATTCGAAAATTTTCTTACCAGTCATTCCGGCCAAGGGCAGAAAGATAACAAGGGGGGATAACATGATGGAGATACATGTGATATCTATTTTTTTTAATAGATTTAATGATCCTTTCATGGATCCCATTGATGACAGTGTTGTATCTATTTCAATGGCTCCTGTTGAATATACTGAATAAAAAAAAAAACAAGTGCATTTTAAAAAAAAATAAAAATAAAAATAAAAAGGAAATACATGTTCATTAAAAAAAAAAAAGAATCGGGACAATTGTTTTTGATGACTTACAAACGCTTAATGGATATAATATCGAAAATGATGCCGCTAAGGTACGCGGTAATATTTGGAAAACTTTGTGCAAGAAAATAAATTACAAGTTAAAATTTTTTTTGTTTCTTGTTTTAAAAAAAAAAAAAAAAATGAAGAATCAATTCTTAATAGCGTACTTTCGGCCCACATGGCGTTAGGGTAAAGGTCGTTAAGCAACTGAAGCATATGAATGATCTTCCCTGTATAAAAAAATAAGTTGATTAATTTATTACCCATTTCACATTTCTTAATGGGTTTGACTTTTTCGTTACAATAAAATAATATGAACATTTAACGGTTTGAATATACTCATAGCAAACCTGTTTAGTATGGTTTTGAATGTATGTATGGCATGATTTTTTTTTTTCATAGATGTAAACCATACTATTTGAAAAAAAACAAAAAGAATTTTACTATACATACATTCGAAACCATACTATACAGGTTTGTGTAATACCCTTTCTTTGAACGGATAACTTACAAGGACAATATACCAATGCCAACGCATAACACGTGTGTTGGGGACGAGGTCTCAAAAATCCACGATCGCTTCTTGCAGGAAGGAAGAAAGGTTCCTTATTTACATGAATCAATTGATACAAACAAATTGAAGCTACTATGCTTAATAATAAACAATAAGGGATTAAAATCCAATCCGCGATCTTGTAAACTTCTTGTTCAGGACATCCATGAATATTGACTCGAAAATCACAAGCACAAACGCTAGTGTCCCAAACAAATTTGTTCTGGGGATTATACCCTTTACACACGAGAGTAAAGCTATTTAATAATTGAGCCATAATAATTATTTTATCTAAAAAAATAATTAATAAATTTTAATTCGTTCGATGATTGACTGAAAAAAAAAAGAAAGAAAAAAAAAAATTCTGTACCCTTTGCGAGATGATTTTTTTTTTTTCAATACTTATAAAGTATAATGCATAATGTGCATAATAAATAGAATAATTTGAATAATTTAATTAATTAATAACTAATGTTTATTGTATAATTTAAAACGGATTTACAAGATATTATTAAATTTTTAACACATCATAATTGATCAAAACATCTTTTTGGACTGACAAAATTCAACAATGAAAAAAAAAAGAGTATCAAATGTGCAAAATTTGTCACAAAATCGCCATCATCCGTCCTTTTATATCAGGAAGCATGGCTCTTCAGATGCAAGAAAATTTGCATTATGCATCGAAGCATGATGCAAATCCAATCAGCGAATCTACATCCAACAACTTGTGTAGCCATGCCTTATTTCGTTACTTTTCCACGCATACATAAAACGAGTGAGAACTTTTAATAGCTCGTTATATAAATATATTTTTTTTTATGAAACGATTTGGAAAACAAACAAACAAAATTAATGGTAAATGCAATCCCCGCAATAAATGCGTTTCCGGACTTCCAAAGACGATTCTTTTTTAAATATTTATCATCTACATTTGATGTCAAATTGAGCCTTAATTAAGAAATATTTAATTCATTATATTACATAACTCGAGATGTATGGTTTAAAAAAAAAATTCAAAGTTTATGCCAAGAAAGGACGACCCTAAGGGTTATTTCTTGATCCAACTTAAAAAAAAAAAATGACGTAACAAATAATCCATTTTTGGTTTATAAAGTCCCGCATTTTTTTTTTTTCCTCAATCTTTTTTTTTTTCTTACAAAAAAAAAAAAAAGGTATAACGAATCTTAGATTCACCAGATCCAGATGGGGATGATGTTTATAAATAATAATTAATAATGTTCCTTTTATAATTAATGATTAGTCAACTGATTCGTTGGGATTATTTATAATAATATAAACATACGATTATCAAATTACCAAACATAATTTTGATTTTTAATGAAATACATCAACTTTTTAAAAAGATTCGATTTAAGAAAACCCAACGCTATAGATCGAAAAAAATTTTTTTAATTAATTTTGTCTGTCCTCGTGCGAATAAAGTTTTTTTTGAACAAATGCAAGTAACTTTAAGTATTGTTTTGATTACCGTTGAACTTTTTATTTAATTACGATAGTTTCCGAATTAGGAATCTTTTTTTCCATTCATTGAACCAAATGTAAGCTTATTTAAAAATAAATTAATATGATTAAGAATCTCACCAATAACGAACCTCGTTTAATTATTCGTATAAAAAAATATTTGTTGTTCAGAAATTATGTAAAATTCGTAGCACCATAAATTAAGATTAGATAATGAGAGATCTTTTTTAATTAAAAAAAAAAAAAAAGATATTCTTTTTTGATCTACTTTTCCTCCTAATATACAATGATTAAATGTCAATGATTTTCAAAAGGGAATAATTTTTTAAAAAACCAATCAGGGATCAAAGATAATTTAGATTATCATCTATAAAATGCCTTACTCGTTGTAAGAAATTAAAATAATTTTCCAGTATTACAAATAATTGGTAAATTAATTTGTGTTTTACAGTGGCGCAGGAGCCAATTTTTATTTATTTTGTCGATTTTTTTAAATAATAAATAAATAAATAGCAAATAAATCTCATTTAAAATCGTTCCTATCCCCACGATTTACCAGTTAGTATTATTATTTGGACAAATTTTTTGAATGAGGTTTCGGCATAAATTATTTGTAATTAATGGGAAGTTGTTAAAAAAAAAAAAAAACTTGAATGAGATCGGCTTCCCCATTTTGTTTTTTTTTTTTTTAATTCCAACAGAAAACTTCTTTATCAACTCGTGATTTCGGTGTAGCAATGTTATCACCAATCGTCACTCATCTTCAATGAAAATTAAATTGGTATCATTTGAAAATAAATAATAAATTTATTATTTAATTTATTTGTTTGCTTTGACTTTATTTTGTGTCACGATAAGTTTGCGTTACACTGAAAGTTAGCAAACAAAAATTAAAGCGAACCAATGGGATTTCAAGAGAAATATTTTTCTTGATTTTCGGGCTAATTCGTCACATCCGATTTTATTTTTTGGAAAGTTTATAATTAGTCCGCCCTCAGCCCAGGAAAAAAAAAAGGGAGCATAAAAAAAAAACAAGAAAGACTCTTTTAGTAAAAATCAATATTCCCAGTACCGTTAAAAAATTGCTTTTTGTGATCCAATAATACGATTTTCCGCATCAGAAAAGGTTTGGATTTCATTTAAAAGACGCAATCTACCAGTCACGCAATAGTTTTCATGCTTTTTTGGTAAATGGTTTTTTTTTGAAATCGAATCAGGAAAAGTTTTTCCCAAATCCTCTCTCATCAACCCAAGTTCCAATGAGTGTAATTGTTTACTGAATTTTTGTCTCACTTTCCTATTCTCCAAATTTGATTTTTTTTGGAAAAAAGCGCAAAGCAACGTTTGGTTCAGTCGAGGTTACACGATTAGCTTATATTTATATCACGGTACATCCCATTCACTAAAAAGAAATTTTTTTTGTTGTCTATTTATGTGTTCTTTGGAGTTTTTCCCTAAAAAAGCCATTCTTTATCATCTCTTTACCTTGTCCTTTTTTTTTAAATCGTCCCTTTTTTAACCTGTGCTTTCCTTCTTTGACTTTCTTTTGCTTTCTCATCATTCTTTTCGGTTGAAACTCTTTTTGGAGTTCATACCGTCATTTCTTATTTTATACGAAATCTGAAAAAAAAAAAAAAAAAAAATAATAATAATAATCTTTTTTTTTTTTAAAAAAAAAACAAAAAAAAAAAAAAAAAAAATCCGAACCCTTTTTTTTTTTTAAAAAAAAAAAAAAAAATTTAAAAAAGAATTTTAAAAATAAAAAAACTAAAAAAAATATTTTATTTATTTTAATTTTTTTTTTTTTTTTTTTTTTTTTTTTTTTGTTTATCATGAATCGAACAAAAGTGACAGTTGCTTGTCAGGCATGTCAGAAGAAGAAAGTGAAGTGTACGGGGAGTTCTCCCTGTGCCAATTGTTCGAGAAGCGGTCACAGCTGTATCTTTTCCAATACGGCAAAAAAAAGAGGTCCAAGAAATGGTAATGTCGAAGTGATAAAGAGCTCGGCACATAGAATCGAATACGTTTTGCAGAATTACCCAAGTTTGCGAGATCAAATCGAGCAGATGCTTGATGGAAACAAGAATGAAATTAATAACAATAAACGCTGCTCTCCATCTCGAAATATTCACCCAATAAGACTGCAATCCTTAAACGACGTTGTTATAGACGATGATGCCAATACCAAAACCAAAAATAAGGGATTACCTTATTTTGTTCCAACGAAATCTGTTGTTACCCGTCAAGATGATATTACCAATAGATCGCCACGTCAAGATCAACAAGATCAAGTCAATGAGCAAGAGAATCGACTACCCATCTTCTGTAGACCTTTGCCTGTTTATCCTTCGAATATGCAAAGGAATCATGTAACACGACGATCGGATATTAATAGATACGCTCAAACGAGCCCGCATAGAAATATAGAAGTTGCTAATTTAACAACCAAACCTGCCTTGCCGCCTTTTAGCGCAATAATGGAAGTATCGTCGAAAGACGAAGCACCGGATGATGAAAACCATTTGACATTACCAACTCCCTATAATATGTTCAATAGGAAGTCAGTGTCAATGTCAATCTGTAGCTCTTCACTAGGAACTCAGTTGTTGCTTCCTGCGCCTGCGGATAATTCATTAGACGATTTACAAAAGTCCTTGATTTCCAGCTCATATCAACAACATCTCGAAGGAAAGTTACCGCTAAATACCAAAAATTATCCGGAACATGGGATAAATTTATATGAGATGTTTAGAACAAAAAATGAAGATACTTGTACAAGGATTTCGTTACCTTCACCACCTTCGCATTTTTCTTTATCGTCGTCGCCACGTTCAACGTGTACAAATTACCCTCCCACACCAACTTCTTCAGCGTCACCTCCACTGTCGCCACACATAAAATCCAAGCGGTCCTCCATTCACCTCTTGTCGAAACCTGCACCCTGGTGTGCAAACGTTATTAATGAGGATCGTGAGGATCGTACTTTATACTCCCACTTTCAACCGAATCACCTTATGGAAACTGATTGTTCTTAATGAGAACAAGAAAAAAAAACAATTATACATATAAAAACAAAAAAAAAAAAAAAATAATAATAATAGACTAAATAATTTTTTAGTCCTATATGATAAAAATCTTTTAATAATAATAACGTGTTACACATTTAATAACGCGTAAATTACAATTAAGGTACCAAACCCTATAATTAAGATTTACCATTAAATTAATATTCTATTAACTATCTATCAAAAAAAAAAATAAAAATAAAAATAACGTTAATATATGGTAAGTTAATAATAAAGTGTGGAGCCACCACATAAATAGTACAAGCTTTAATTAATTCTATGACGTGAAGTTAGTTTGGTATGACTATTTACCTACGATCTAATCGGTTTGTTTTTTCTTTCATTTCATTCTTTTTTTTTTTTTTTAAAAAAAAAAAAAAAGAAGAGGATAAGAAAAAAAAAAAGAAAGAAATTTATAAATTATGATAAAATACCTGTAATATCTGATCGTTATGTTACTATGCAACTTTAATTTTTCACAATTTGGGGGAACCTCGGTCACTAAAAATATAAATAAAATTTATGATCAAAGCTGTGCCACACTATAAACGTCATTATTTATCCGTGGAAGTATTTTCGCAAATGAAATGTCGAAGCTTTATCGTAATCATCTAATCTTTTATCTTATTTTGGATTTTCATTTAGGATTTAGGATCTAGAACCTATAAGTTATTATTTGATAGTTGATATTTGATAGACCTAATACCTCTCGTACTAGTAAATAAAACAAAGAATGTTTATAAATGAATTTTTTTTTTCTTTTTATTTTTTTCACGAAAGAAATAATATTTGGGTTTAAAGAAAGAAATGTTATTATTACTGCAAATTTAGTAAACTGCACTGCAAAAAAAAAAAAAAAATTCTAATCATAAAAATATGTATTTATTTTGACGGAGAAATAGAATCTTTTTTTAGCTTTGCAAATTTTGAACTTTCCTAATCTCCCTTTTGTCGTAGATAAAAATCAATAGTAATAATTGTAATGGTTGAAATTACTCCAAACGATTCAATCAAAAATTTTCGTAAGTATAAAAATTTTACCAGGTTAATAGTAAATAAATAATTCACTTTGTTTAATATTTTTGATTATTTATTTCTATTTTTATTTTACTTTAAAAAAAAAAGCCGAATTTGTATTGAAGAATTACATAGAATTTAGTGTTGTTGGATCACTAATCGTCTTTGCCATCTTTATTTATCTAATTGGACAATGTATGAATAATAGGGTAAATAACTTTATGCTAATAATGTTTACGATTAATATGAATATATGCTAAACATATATGTATGTATCTTAGGGGAAAAACTTTGTAATATTCAACTTTATGTTGATATGTTATGATTTGGCATTTGACATAGCATTTCTAGTGAAGAGTGCAAAGATCATTCCGGAATTGTACAGACCCGCGTAAGTAGAAGGTTCTGTTTTTCAAATTTTTTTTCAAAAAATGGACTCAACATTACTCTACTATATTTTTTAGGTTGATAATCTTAATAATATCGGGATCAATCAATATAATGTTTGGGTTTGCAATTATAATACATCAAAGGTATTATAATCCAGCTTTTTTGGGTTGGTTTCGAGAGCATCATAGATTCGCAGCGGTGATAACGGTGTTTTCTGCGGTAAACATACAAGCGTTAAAGGTTGTTTCATCAAATTTCGGAGGAATGGACTTATATAGTGCGAGATATTCCGCTAATGGACAAAGGGCCATTGCCTGGGTTGGAGTTTTAAATTTTGGTTTTCAAGATATACCTCAGCTAGTTATTTTGGTAAGTTTTTTTTTTTTTTTAACTCTAGAGTTCGGATGAATTATGTTTAAAATTTTCATATCACCTTTTAGGTAAAGTATTGGACCATGACGGAAGGTTACACATTTATTCCATTTATCAACCTGATTTTAAATTTTGTAATTTTATTCCTTGACTTCTTTGGAAGGATCTATGATGCCGTGATAATTACAAATGATGAAGATGGTACCACGCGTAATTTAAACAATCGGTCAGCCGATAGTACTCATCAGTATAGTATGCGAGTTGGCGCTCCTTAAGACAATTAAATAACCTTTTGTTTGTGGCGCGTTTGAATCACAATAAAGAATGACGAATTAACACATGGTTATTAAATGATTCGGTCTTTTGCATGAGGAAACGAGATAGACTACCGTAGATTGACCGGGTTGGACTGGTTAGGGGTTTCGTTTCCCTTAGAATATCACGCAATTCTAAACTGGAGTTGATATTCTTAAGTAGATTAGTTGAAATTTCGATTAGGTCCTTATCTTTGTTTCAGGTAACTTAAGATGATATACTTTGAAACATATATATCGAACAAATATTTATTATTAATTATTGAAAAGGCGTCTTTGTTTGTTTGTTTACATAAAGTCAAATAAATTTACTTTTTGAAATTGAATTTTATGGAATGAAATCATATCTCATCCCTGTTAATTAAAATTCTTTTAGGTTATTTTGGTTTGGTGACATTTTGAGAAGAAACAGCATTTCGAAGCGGAAAGAAATGACGTTTCTTTATGGTCAACAATGAGTATCACCACATCCCACGTGACATCATTTAATTTGTCACTCCATACCGCATTTCATTTTTACCATGTATTCTGGGGACGTAAATCCTATTTTTCACATACTTATTCATCACATGGTTAATTTCTTAATGGCCAACGTCACGTGGGTAGAAATTTTTTGCGGTGATAAGGGGTAAATGTCAACAACGACACTTTTCACGTGAAGAAATCGCATTATCCATAACCTTTCGTGTTATGATTCGCGTAATTTAAGAGTCATTTTATCAAGCTTATGATTATATGTTGCAAAATGCTAAAAATTTAAAAAGTATAACACGAATTATAGAAAAAAAAAAAAAAGAATTCCCTCCGGCCCTGATCATTTGGCCAAACAGATTACTCGAGATTACTGTTAACATCATATCATTTTCCTACAGACAAACTCTAAATGCACCCTCTATAAATGCACGCACTATATAAATTCTCGCTAAATGCATGTCCTAAACTCAAAGAACTTTGATTAAATATATGCACACCTTTCTAAATGCCTTTTTTTTATATGGACATTTTAGAGAGGTTTGACTATATACTGAATTTGACGTTTTGGACAAATCAAAAATAATTCCGGCCAAAAGATTCATCTGCGCATATAGCAACAAAAAAAAGTTCATGTGTTTAGAAATCAAATAACATGTAACTCAAGATATCATCGTACATTATCAGATTTAAATAAATTACCAAATCTTGTTAATACCTGATAAAATTGTTCGATTTTTTTTTTTTGCAAACAAAGAAATAAATAACGATAAATTTAGAAGTTAATTTTTTAGTGCAATGTCAGTTGACCCTTCTTTTACATTAAGTAATTTATGTGTATGGACCTGTTTTTATGTGTTTGGGGGTCATTTATACAAAAACAATGGAATCTTCATTCATTATACTAATAATGCATAAAAAGAAAATAAAAAAAAATTTTTTTTTTTTTTAAATGTAATGGGTAAAATATAATCAATATATATATATATATTATTTGTAATCCCATGCATGACTTTTTATGGTATTATGAATGAACCTCACTGGCCGAAAAAAATTTTTTTTTTTTTTGTTTTGATATGGTTTCTCACCACAACAAGAACAAATTTATATAACATTACTCTTATTATGACGCGAGCTCATTTATCGAATTTTCTGACATGCAACTTCATTTCTTACAATGCGTGTTATCATAGAATCAGATAATGCTATATGCACAGTTGATTTCCTGTTGTTCGTACAACGGTTCTACACATTATTATCATTATCATTATTATTATTATTTTTTTTTTTTAATGCAAACGGTTCTAGCCAAAAATAAGGAAAATTTTTATAAAATGAAGGGCCTTGGTGGAATTTGAGCTTCTTTGCCGTATCCTCTTTAAAGAAAAATTATTAATTTTACGCGCCACTTTTATAACGAAAGTTATCCTATTCGTATTGCCTCAATCGCATTGTTCTTACTTTACTGCTTTTCTTCGTAACCTTCTAAAATACAAACCAAAATAAAATTTACAATTTACGTCAAAAATATAATAATTTTCCACCCTTATTAGAAAATGACTCCATTTATACCATTCGCTGTTATCTCATCATTTTTAATTCACGCTACTGACGCTATCCCGATAAATCCGTCATCAACCAATGATAATTCGAATGATTTATTGCGTGGTGGACATAGCGTCCAAGAAATCAATTCTTTTTATAGTGTAGGATTGTCCCTTTTACAATTCGACCTTTTATGTATCTTGTATGTGTTCTTTAGAACGTTTATGCTTGCAAATACGAAGAGCAGTAAGGCAAGAACTTTATCGATGACGCATAGGTTGCCCTTTTATTTGGCATGCTCAGGTAATTGTTCTTATCAAATCACGTACGTACAATGAATTCCCAAACAATCATTTATTTAATAAAACCTTTCTTTAGACCTACTTATCTACGCTTCCTTAACCACAAATCTAGTAATTATTCTTTGGATGATATTTACGTATTGTAAATTTACTTGTACTTGATAGTCTTATTAAATTGATTTTATTCGACAGATCTACCCGGTTTTTAATGGCCGGACATGGTTGGGTACCTCCTGTAAAATCGTTTCAGCCAGCTTTTACATTGCATCCATTGGTAACATGATATTGGTTTGTGAGCTCTCCATACTTAGCTGGTTAAGAGGTAAATACGACAGAAATTGGATTTCAATTTTAAAAAAAAAAATTTCGCGAGATCAAATCAAATGATAATGATAATTTTTTTTTTAAAATCGTAATATATTTTAGTTTGCAAGAAAACGTATGCACAACTTGGAAAGTTCGATTATAGAATGTTCATTGCACCTTGTTTAATTCCATTTATAATTACCATTCCTGCATTTAATTCTTTTGGCTCAGATGAATATTGGTAAGTTTGACAACTTTTTTTATTTTATTTTTGGATTATTTTATTTATACACCTGACAAAAAAAAACATCTATCTGTAGGTGCTTTATGGTTCATGATGATATCGTCTTTCGTGGTGTATTTTTATCAATCTCTTTTACTATCTTTACGATAACGACATTTTGTTATATAAGTATCATTTATGAAATCAAAACTGTGGAAATTAACAGTGGAAATCAGCACTTTTACCGTGCAACGCGCAAAATTAGCGCATACTTATCAATGTATATTTTGCAATGGGTGAGTATAATCTGGGATGATTTGATTTGTTCATTTGAATTTTCATTCTGATCATTTTTTTTTTTTTTATTAGACGCCCTTCATTATTTTCGTTATTATTGATTTTCTTGACGTAAGTTTTTGGTCAAAGATTTATATCGAAATCATTAGTGAGATCAAATGTTAAACCTTTTATAAAAATTTAGCACGCCAAGATGTACGTTTTCTTTGCTTGTGCAGCCTTTATCCCAATCGGAGGGATCCTTAATGCTGTGCAATACGTTCTTAACGAGGGATGTTTTCATGACGATAACCGATCTCATGCCCTTTCACGTTGGTCACATCCAACGACACCAAAATCTGCTAAAGCCAAATGTATGCTTGACGATGATGTAGATGACCTTAAGATGGCTAAGTCTAAAGTTGAAACCATAGACCTGTCTGAGCTATGCAATTTGGAATCTTGTCAACCGGAAAATTCTCAACGGATTTCGATTTCCTTAAACTAAACTTCCTCTTTTTTAAAAAAATCCTTGTTTCTTTTAATTTTATTCTCGCATGGAACGGCCAAACCATAAGATTTTAACTCTAGAATATATATATTTTTTCTTTTACGAAACAAAAAAATATATTTATCTTAATACAGGTTTAGACCTTGTGTTAAATCAAAAAAAAAAAACAAAAAACAAAAAACAAAATTTAGCTTAGGCGTCATAATAATTTTACGAAAAAAAACCCTTTATGTTGCTCAGGGATTATTACCCTTGTTCCTTTTTTTAAAAAATTCACATTTGTATATATACATTAAAGTACCTTTGCATAACAATTCATAAGAAAAAAAAAAAACACATTGACAAACAATTATATATATAATGATTATTTTATACATATCGCTTTGCTGAAATCATAAAACGTCGCTCCGCAGTAAAAAATATATATGACGCTCTCGAAAAAAATTGACGCGTTAGCTCGTGTTATATTAACGTGTGCGAGAAATTTCTTTATTTCTTGTGAGAAAGTGAGTGAACCGGCAAAAAAGTTTCATGTTATAAAGTTGATGTGTATTATTCATTGCAAAATTTGTGAGCTATCTTTTATGAACTAAATAACTGAAACTTCATTTCAACAAAAGCAGTACATGGTACTGCAATAATAGATTTAAGTGAGGGTGGTACTCGATATACTACAGCTATTAGTCTAACTGAGAAAACAGCTAACAATTTCAACATCTACCATACCATATTTATTTACATAATAATATTTCACTGGATTGGATTATTTTGTTCCAGCATGAACCTATAATTATAATATGTTTTACTATGCAATAATAGATTAAGTGTAGATAAATTATAACAAATACAGATTTTCTGCTCTGCGTAAATGATGAACGGCCACGCATTGAACATATGATAAAATCTACGGTGCACCTTAACTTTTGAAAATGTGACATTGATTTCTAATATCTCTTACTTCGAAGTTGTAAATTCACGAATTCATTTGGTTTTTCTAGGTTTTTCTTACCCATTCATATAGCTCCGAATTTTTCTCTCGACATACAATTTTTTTGATGTTTCTTCGCCAATAACATAATCTTGTATAATCATTAAAAATCGAATGACATCATTTTTATTAAAGTAATAATATAAACTTAACTTCTGACGATTCCACTATCATGATAAATAAAATGGTTTAAATTTTAATTTGTTTCTTTTAAAACTTTATTTGCAGATTGGTTTCCTATTTATTGACTGAAGAGCTATTAAAAAATATACATATGTATAATTAATTGTGGCTTTATAACTCCTTAAGTTAATATATCTACATATATCTATCAATATAAAATAATAAATACCTAAAGAAAAAAAAATAAAATATTTGAATTACCTTTTCTCTGTCGTTAAGGGTACGGTTAACATCCATCCGAGGTTTTATCCAATGAACCTTTTATTAGATTTTAAATCCAATCCGGATTCTGAAAAATCCGAATTCAATTCAGCATTCATGAATCCAATTCCATGTCTACTTGTAAGTCTTCCGGTTCCTTTTAATGTCCTTTCCCTCTCGTATTTTTTTTTTTTTTCATTTTTCTGACAAGCAATATAATAGAGCTCCCATCAAGTAAATTCAGAATAATGAACGTATTGAAACCTTGATCTATTGGTGAGACGCGTATCAAGCTTCCCAAACTTACATATTCCGTCTCCTAACCAATCCATTGCGTAAAAAATCTAGACAGTTAAAATATTATGTATGATATGTATCATATTTATATGTTTAAGATAAGCTGAATTTGAAGCGAAACATAATGATTAAATCCCATGCGTTGATCAATAAACGATAACGGACAATTAAATAAATTATATGGACATTCAGCAAAAACTAAAAATTGGTAGAATTTATAATTTTGTAAAATTTAACTTACTTTCCCGAAGACTCTTTCTTATAAGTCTATTCACATTTCTACTACTTTTGAGAAAGAAATTGACGCCTTTAGAAAGTGCTTAATAGTAGCTGAATATGAGAAATGCGCCTTATGTATCTTTTTTTTTTTGAAAAAAAAAAAAAATTGGAGTCGTTCAAAGTACATGTAGTTGGTTAGATTTAATTAGGATTATAACAGGGATGAGACCTGGTTTAACGAAAGATAATTAACCAATAAAAACAGAGAGAAGAATTTAAAATTTTTTTTTTTAGTTAGATGCGATTTGTGGCTTAGAATGAAAAAAAATTAAATTATTTATTATTATTAAAAATTCAGGTCAAAGCTTATTATACCCTCGTTCAGAGGATCCCAACACAAAAGTACTAGACTACGACAAACTTGGTTAAAATGTAGCAGATTGCATATTTTATCGTTCTCAACTTACATCTAATTGGCTTCGGACATGGACAAGTCAAGGCTTACCTGTTCCAAGGTTAAGTGTTTGTGATAAGGACAAGTTTTTTTAATTGGAATACCAGTTATTAAGGTAAGTATATATATAAAATCCATATTGATGTAGAAAAAGCCTCTAATTAACAATGAGCTTATACAAATCACAAATTCTCAGTCAATCAAAAATAGTTTGCTCGAGAGGTCTTATCTGATACAGAGTGAGTATATGTATGTATATATAAGAGAATTGCCAATTAATTTTTATGGTAAAAACATCATTCAAATTTTTACCTGGTAAACAAGTTTAATATTAGCAAATATTTTTTTGTCGAGAAAATTAGATTTGTATTGTCATCATCGGGAATATATGACTGCGATCGATTTTCATGTGAAGAATGTATATTTATTTAATTTATAAGAGGACAAATAGAGGAGAAACCCGAACACCGTTCAGCACGATCCAAGATTATTCATCTTATTTCTTCCAAGAGAATAATGTGTTCGTCGAGAATATGACTGAAGAAATTTCACGTTAACCATCCTGATAACAATGAAAATTCTCACATCATTGTTTCTATTTTACCCATCAAGAATTATTTGGGTAATTTCATCACTAATTTTGGATATAGTTAGTCAAAGATAAAAAGGTAAAGGATCTCCCGGAAGAAATATATACCACCATTTGTTTTTTAACCGGAAAAAGTAAGATACTACAAAAATATGCTAGTTACTTCATTTAATTAATATTATTATTATTAATATTTATTAGAATAATTTATTATTAGACCCCCATTTAATATATACCATTTATTAAGGTTACAAATATTTATGTAAAAATGCATCATGTGCACATAAATCTCAACGTAAATGCCACCCGCTCTATATATATTTAGTTAAATTATAGTTCAACAAGTTTCACTCGAAACATTTTTTTTTCGAGAGATTCTAGAAACCATGCAAGTACGCATAATATATCAGTAAACCTATTGAAGGAAGAATAGTTAGAAAAAAATTTTTTTTCTTGGTAAATAAAGATAAATCATAACATTGAACTTACCAATGATAATTGCCATTTTAAAAGCAATCAAAAAAATGATGAGTATGGACTTCCAGGTGAATCTCTTTGTTTTGGAACATATAGGCTTGACATTAGTCGAACGTAATCTTCCCGGGGAATCTTCTTCAGAATAAGTTTGTTGTAAATATTGCATTGAATAACGTGAATTAACTGGACGTGCCGTAGGAGGTACTACTATTGTAATAGTACAATCATCATCATCTGTTGGAATTATAGATGAATTATAATTTTTTTCATCTAAATTGTTCTTTTCATTCGGTTCATTAATTTTGGTATCAGAAGGTTTAACCTTGGACTTGAATAGGGTCATATTTATTTATTTTTATTATTATTTTTTTTTTTTTAAAAAAAAAAAAAAAACAAATTAGAGAAAAAAATTGGAGCAAAAAAAAAAATTAGAGAAATTTTTTGCTGAAAAAACTGTGAAGGTGGAAACCCCCAAGTTATTAAATTAGAAAAATCATCGGATTTTATCATTCATATTGTGTTCATCTTTGGCCATATCAATTGAATTTCTTTGTTCCTATTGTCAATCATTTTTTTGAGTTGGGAGTGACAAAATGTAACAAATCAGATTCGAGAGTTCAAAAATAAAACCACGTCTGAGTAATGAACTTCTATTTTTGAAATCATTTGGCTAAGTTGAAAGTTCCGCAATAGAACTTTTGTCATTTTTGTGAATTGTACACAAATCTTTTATTTATAGGTTGAGTCGAATACATATATTTGGTTTTTCCCGAATATTTTTGGGCGTTTTTTTTTTTTTTTTCTTTTTAATAATTACTATTGGAAAAGTGTGTCACGTGATTTTTTGTTATAATAAAATCCTATTCTCCAAAAACGACGATTTGATCAATTATTTATTATCCAAGAGAAATTAACCGCAAGGAAAGGTTACCGTTCATCAGGAGTACTATTCACATTTGAAACTTTGAAACATGTAAAATTATAAATTTATAAATAAAATAAAATTGATAACCATTTAATAAGAATTTATGCAAGCGAAATTACTCGCATTGCTCTTGAATCAATCATAATTTATTTTTATTTTTTTCATATAATAAAATCTATATTAGCTTATCAATGTATACTTAGGAGAAAACTTAAATTGTCGAAAATAAAAATGAATAGTAAAAAATTATATAACGAGAATAATAATCGATTTTTCATAAGGTAACAAAAGAATTTTACAATAAGGCTTTTCATATCTTTTTCATAGTATTACGAATTTATAAAAAGTAAAGAAAAAAAATTTTTGATCGACATGATAAAAAAAAAGAAAAAAAAAATTTCACAAATCCTCGAATCGTCTCCCGACCGGTTCACACGCATGATAATTTGATCCATTGGTTTTTCTCATGAAACAATAGTGGCTTTTTTTTTTCTTTTTTTTTTTTTTGTTGTAATGTTTTCTTTTTAGAAAAAAGAAAGCTTAGAATGTAGAGTTTAACCAGATCGGAAACTGGTTGGAAAACATTTCATATTTTTGTTTTTTTTCGTTTTGATTTATCGACGAAGTTAATGGATTATTTTTTTTTTTAAGGGAAAGAGAATTT